TTTCTGAACAAAGTAGCCATTTTCATTCACTATAAAAAAAAAAAAAGGAATGCTGAAGATATGGCATTTGCAAGTGCCAACATCCCTCTCTAAAAAGTTGACAATCCCAAAAAGAGCGCATTTATTAAGACACATGTAAAGAACGGCGGCGCAGGCTGTTTAACCTCTACGGGATCGGTGTCCTGTATACGGGACGGTTGAGCTAACGTGCCCCAATGTGATTAGCATGACTGTTGTAAGTAACAGCAAACTTTCCAGGACATAGACATGTCATATATGGGCAGAAAGCTTACATTCTTGTTAATCTAACGGCACTATCCAATTTACAGTAGCTATTACAGTAAAAAAAGACATTGCTATTGTTTGAGAGTGCACAACAACAAAAAATGTATCACGGCAACTGGTTTGATACATTCACCTCTGAAGGTAAATTAATGTACTTACATTCAGTAATCTTGCTCTGATTTGTCATCCTAAGGGTCCCAGAGATAAAATGTAGCATCGTTTTGTTTGATCAAATCTATTTTTATATTCAAATGTAGGAACTGGGTTCTACAGTTTGAACCCCTGCTGTCTCTGGCTCCATCTAGATGTGTGAAAGTTAGTGTATAAGCTAATGATCCATCATGTATGACATTCCTGGGAGTGTGTAAACTTACATTTTGTATTACCATATAATTTTTGTATGTTCTCTATAGTGATGTACAGTGAGGAAAAAAAGTATTTGATCCCCTGCTGATTTTGTAAGTTTGCCCACTGACAAAGACATGATCAGTCTATAATTTTATTTGTAGGTTTATTTGAACAGTGAGAGACAGAATAACAACAACAAAATCCAGAAAAATGCATGTCAAAAATGTTATAAATTGATTTGCATTTTAATGAGGGAAATAAGTATTTGACCCCTCTGCAAAACAGTTTCTTGTAGTTGGCCACCAGGTTTTGCACACATCTCAGGACGGATTTTGTCCCACTCCTCTTTGCAGATCTTCTCCGAGTCATTAAGTTTTCGAGGCTGACATTTGGCAACTCAAACCTTCAGCTCCCTCCACAGATTTTCTAGGGGATTAAGGTCTGTAGACTGGCTAGGCCACTCCAGGACCTTAATGTGCCTCTTCTTGAGCCACTCCTTTGTTGCCTTGGCTGTCTGTTTTGGGTCATTGTCATGCTGGAATACCCATCCACGACCCATGTTCAATGCCCTGGCTGAGGGAAGGAGGTTCTCACCCAAGATTTGACGGTACATGGCCCCATCCATCGTCCCTTTGATGCGGTGAAGTTGTCCTGTCCCCTTAGCAGAAAAACACCCCCAAAGCATAATGTTTCCACCTCTATGTTTGACGTTGGGGATGGTGTTCTTGGGGTCATAGGCAGCATTCCTCCTCCTCCAAACACGGCGAGTTGAGTTGATGGCAAAGAGCTCGATTGTGGTCTCATCTGACCACAACACTTTTACCCAGTTCTCCTCTGAATCATTCAGACGTTCATTGGCAAACTTCAGACGGCCTGTATATGTGCTTTCTTGAGCAGGGGGACCTTGCGGGCGCTGCAGGATTTCAGTCCTTCACGGCGTAGTGTGATACCAATTGTTTTCTTGGTGACTATGGTCCCAGCTGCCTTGAGATCATTGACAAGATCCTCCCGTGTAGTTCTGGGCTGATTCCTCACCGTTCACATGATCATTGCAACTCCACGAGGTGAGCTCTTGCATGGAGCCCCAGGCCGAGGGAGATTGACAGTTATTTTGTGTTTCTTCCATTTGCGAATAATCTCACCAACTGTTGTCACCTTCTCACCAAGCTGCTTGGCGATGGCCTTATAGCCCATTCCAGCCTTGTGTAGGTCTTCAGTCTTGTCCCTGACATCCTTGGAGAGCTCTTTGGTCTTGGTCATGGTGGAGAGTTTGGAATGTGATTGATTGATTGCTTCTGTGGACAGGTGTCTTTTATACAGGTAACAAGCTGAGATTAGAAGCACTCCCTTTAAGAGTGTGCTCCTAATCTCAGCTCGTTACCTGTATAAAAGACACCTGGGAGCCAGAAATCTTTCTGATTGAGAGGGGGTCAAATACTTATTTCCCTCATTAAAATGCAAATCAATTCATAACATTTTTGACATGCATTTTTTCTGGATTTTGTTGTTGTTATTCTGTCTCTCACTGTTCAAATAAACCTACCATTAAAATGATAGACTGATAATTTCTTTGTCAGTGGGCAAACATACAAAATCAGCAGGGGATCAAATACTTTTTTCCCTCACTGTACTTGAAAATGTATAAATTGACCAATTCGGAACATTTGGGCAGACTTGATACAAAATAGCCCAGTATTGCAATGCTTCACTGGATCAATCTGAAATGATTTCTTCTGGTTTTTGTTGTTGTTATTCTGTCTCTCACTGTTCAAATAAACCTACCATTAAAATTATAGACTGATCCTTTCTTTGTCAGTGGGCAAACTACTTTTTTCCCTCACTGTATGTCATCTCACTGAGTCTCCCTTTAAACCTAACCTAACCTATGCTCTGACTCATCACCTTATGCATTACTGCCCCACAGTGGCAAGAAGGGATATCCCCAAAAACACAAAAACTATACAACACATAAATGGCTCCTAGCCTCCCAGGCATTGGCTACTTTCTGTCCCTAACACTAAAACTGAAACTAAATAATATAATATAAAAAACAAATAGTTTTTTAAATATAAAACTTAAACGAAATAAGTAAATCAGATCTGAAAACTAATTTTTTTTGTATATATATACAGTACCAATCAAAAGTTTGGACACACCTACTCATTCAAGGGTTTTTCTTTATTTTTACTATTTTCTACATTGTAGAATAATAGTGAAGACATCAAAACTATGAAATAACACATCATGTAGTAACCAAAAAAGTGTTCCAAATCAAAAAAAAGAAATCCAAATACATTTTAGATTTGAGATTCTTCAAAGTAGCCACCCTTTGCCTTGATGACAGCTTTGTTTACTCTTGGCATTCTGTCAACCAGCTTCATGAGGAATGCTTTTCCAACCATCTTGAAGGAGTTCCCACATATGCTAAGCACTTGTTGGCTGCTTTTCCTTCACTCTGCGGTCCAACTCATCCCTAACAATCTCAATTGGGTTGAGGTTGGGTGATTGAGGAGGCCAGGTCATCTGATGCAGCACTCAATCACTCTCCTTCTTGGTCAAATAGCCCTTACACAGCCTGGAAGTGTGTGGTCATTGTCCTGTTGAAAAACAAAGACTCCAGCCACCCTAGTCATATACTGTTCTCTCTGCTACCGCACGGCAAGCGGTACTGGAGCGCCAAGTCTAGGTCTAAAAGGCTTCTTAACAGCTTCTACCCCCAAGCCATACGACTCCTGAACAGCTAATCATGGCTACCTGGACTATTTGCATTGTCACCCCCACCCCACCCAACCCCTGTTTTACGCTGCTGCTACTCTGTTTATTATCTATGCATATTCACTTTAACTCTACCCACATGTACATATTACCTCAATTACCTCGACTAACCGGTGCCCCAGCACATTGACTCTGTACCGGTATCCCCTGTATATAGCCTTCTTACTGTTATTTTATTTTACTGCTGCTCTTTAATTTTTTTTATTTTTTTATATTTTACTTATCTATTTTTTTTACTGCATTGTTGGTTAAGGGCTTTTTAAGTAAGCATTTCACTGTAAGGTCTACACCTGTTGTATTCGGCGCATGTGGAAATTTTGATTTGATTTGATAGTCCCACTAAGCCCAAACCAGATGAGATGGCGTATCGCTGCAGAATGCTGTGGGAGCCATGCTGGTTAAGTGTGCCTTGAATTCAAAATAAATCACTGACAGTGTCACCAGCAAAGCACCCCCACACCATCACACCTCCTCCTCCATGCTTCACGGTGGGAACCACACATGCAGAGATCATCTGTTCAACTACTCTATGTCTCACAAAGACACGGCGGTTGGAACCAAAAATCTCAAATTTGGACTCATCAGACAAAAGGACAGATTTCCACCGGTCTAATGTCTATTGCTCGTGTTTCTTGGCCCAAGCAAGTGTCTTCTTCTTATTGGTGTCCTTTAGTAGTGGTTTCTTTGCAGCAATTCCACCATGATGGCCTGATTCACGCAGTCTCCTCTGAACAGTTGATGTTGAGATGTGTCTGTTACTTGAACTCTGTGAAGCATTTATTTGGTCTACAATCTGAGGTGCAGTTAACTCTAATGAACGTATCCTCTGGAGCAGAGGTAACTCTGGGTCTTCCTTTCTTGTTGCGGTCCTCATGAGAGCCAGTTTCATCGTAGCGCTGATGGTTTTTGCGACTGCACTTTCAAAGTTCTTGAAATGTTCCGTATTGACTGACCTTCATGTCTTAAAGTAATGATGGACTGTCTTTTCTCTTTGCTTATTTGAGCTGTTCTTGACATAATATGGACTTGGTCTTTTACCAAATAGGGCTATCTTCTGTATACCACCCCTACCTTGTCATAACACAACGGATTGGCTCAAATGCATTAAGAAGGAAAGAAATTCCACAAATTTACATTTAAGAAGGCACGCCTGTTAATTTAAATGCATTCTAGGTGACTACCTCATGAAGCTGGTTGAGAGAATGTCAAGAGTGTGCAAAGCTGTCATCAAGGCAAAGGGTGGCTACTTTGAAGAATTTCAAATATAAATATATTTTGATTTGTTTAACACTTTTTTGGTTACTACATGATTCCATATGTGTTATTTCATAGTTTTGATGTCTTCACTATTATTCTACAAGGTAGAAAATAATACAAATAAAGAAAAACCCTGGAATGAGTAGGTGTGTCCAAACTTTTGACTGGTACTGTATGTATATAAATAAAAACTAATATAAAAACACAAAACTATAATAACCTTGCACAGTACACATGGACCCTCCATGCTTGGTTGTTGTGTTGTTATGTGTATGTACTGTATTTAATGTGCTATATGTGTGGGATTAAAGGATGTGTGTCTCACTTGGCCAGTGTCTGTGCCTGGGTACTGTAGGTACCAGTTCTTCCTGCAGGTAAAGCAAGATGTACTACAGGGCAGAATCCCCTGTCCCCTCGATATCAGCGCACAGCTGGCAGCCCTTGCCATACAGTGTGAGTACCCACAAAGAGAGAGAGAAATAGAGAGAAAAATTGTGAATGAATAGAGATTAAATAATTATATTATGTGATGTCACTGTTCCTAGTATTATATGATCTCTCACACAGTCAAAATGTGTGTGTGTTCATGTGTGCATACGCTCATATGTCTTTCACGTTTTCTCTCCAGCTGAACTTGGCGACTACGACCCGTACAAACATGTGTCGGGCTACGTGTCAGAGTACCGTTTCGTCCCGGACCAGAAAGAGGAACTGGAAGATGCCATCGAGACGATTCACAAAACCGTAACGTAAGGAAGCCCTCTCCTCTCATCTCCTCTCTTCTCCTCTCCTCTTCCTCTCCCCCTCTCCTTCTCCCTTCTCCTCTTTTCTCCTTTCCTCCTCCTCTCCCCCTCCTCCTTCTCCACTCTCCTCTCCTCACTGCTCTGACAGCCAGCCCAATCCCTAATCCCAGTCTAATCCCCTCATAACAGATTACAGACTATGCGTGTGAAAGGGTCAGATATCATCTGTTTGTTACTGTGACTGTGCTGTTCCAGTGGCTGGGTTATGCAGTCAGTCTCTGGTGGTGTATTATTGCTACCTTACTTAATGCAAAGTCTGTCTCATAAGGGATTGGACAATCTACAGTATCTGATCTAATCATTTCTCAGAAAGCAAGGGAATCGTGTAACTCTGTTGTGATTTTGAACTCGGTGAGATATAACAGAGACTACTTTATCTGTAACTGTTTGCTAGTACTGCCACTGTAATACTGAACCCAAGTCGAGTCCTTCATTTATCTGTTCTGAAGGGTTTTGTTTGCTCTCAAAGACTGTTGACATAGACATACTGTTATCTATGTTATATATTTACCATTTATTTGCTATGGGACATGAGACGAGAGACATCACGGAATTTCTCCACTTCTCTTCTACTATCGCTCAACAGGATTGACGAATTTCATCTTAAATCAGCCATAAATCCCAATGTGACAGCATGAATGGAAGCTTGTTGTGTGCAGCAGGGAGGGGCAATTGAACGCAAGCCTGTCTTATCTGTAACAGGGTTGACGTGTGATGCTTGACTCGCTCAGTTTTTCACAACAAAGCACCAGAGAATGGCTAAAAAGAGTAGAACCTGCTTGTACACTATGATTTTACTATTATATGTTCAAAGTTTCTTTTGAAACAAATATTTAAAAAGGAATAGTTTCACCATATTAAAACGAGAGTTCAGTTCACGCAGCAGGGCTGACCTTAAAATGAGGGACATTCTTTTTTTCTTTTTTTTTTACTGAATCTCTAATCAAATGAAATAAATAATAATCTACAGAAATGGCTTTGTCAAAGCAACAAAATAACTTTACAATGATGGTGAAAAGTTGGAGGAATTTGGGGGTTAAGTGGGTAAAAATATTCCTAGAAGTCACAGAGGGTGCACAAAGGGACATGCCAAAAGGCAGAATGTTGGCACTTTAGCAAGTCTTTATTCATATAAAAAATCTGATTTATAGAATTTTACATGTGGTCTATATTAAAGGGCACTTCATTTAATATAACAGGAAATTAAAATCCAATATTGGTGCACAATTTCTACTTAAAATATTAGAGATAAATATAAGAGGTAGTGAAAATGGCCTCATTTTGTGGAATGACCCTGTGTGTGTGTGTGTGTGTGTGTGTGTGTGTGTGTGTGTGTGTGTGTGTGTGTGTGTGTGTGTGTGTGTGCATGCGTGTGTGTGCATGTGTGTGCGAGCGTGAGGTGTGTTTCACTACCTCTCCTACTGAAGGTTATAGGGATGACAGATAGAGCTGTGACAGAGAAGAAAATACCAGAGGCCTGATGATAAGAGGTAGAGAGACCGCCACCCCCATATTAGTATTAGGTCAGATTACACCATGCTGCCAGGACCCCAACCCTATTGGTGAGGATTATGGATTACAGTTGTGATGACTGGTCTGCCCTCATGAACACGGTCCTCATTGTGTGAGAGCAGGCAATAGTGTGAATTACATGGTAATATAAATCAGACAGACACATACAGACAGACACATACAGACAGACATATAGCTCTGTTCAGATCCTTGAGAGATTGGATTGAAAAGAAATAAATATCCATTTGATTAGTTATTTTGATCATCTCATATTAAAATGTAATGATATGAATCAGGTCAGTTCAGTGAAGCCATCTTTATAGAATGAATTAGTATACAATGGAGACTAAACCCATTTTGACAGTGTGAAAGTGTTATACTGTACATTTGAAATATGAGGAATTTGACCATAGCACACAAAGGTTATCATCCATCCATTCTCTGTTGTTGTTTGTGTATTCCAAACAGTGGCATGGTCCATGGTATTGTGACAGTGAACTGAGTGAAGTGATTACAGTGAGGGAAAAAAGTATTGGGTATTCCAGCATGACAATGACCCACAACACAAGGTCAAGGCAACAAAGGAGTGGCTCAAGAAGAAGCACATTAAGGTCCTGGAGTGGCCTAGCCAGTCTCCAGACCTTAATCCCATAGAAAATCTGTGGAGGGAGCTGAAGGTTCGACTTGCCAAACGTCAGCCTCGAAACCTTAATGACTTGGAGAAGATCTGCAAAGAGGAGTGGGACAAAATCCCTCCTGAGATGTGTGCAAACCTGGTGGCCAACTACAAGAAACGTCTGACCTCTGTGATTGCCAACAATGGTTTTGCCACCAAGTATTAAGTCATGTTTTGCAGAGGGGTCAAATACTTATTTCCCTCATTAAAATGCAAATCAATTTATAACATTTTTGACATGCATTTTTCTGGATTTTTTTGTTGTTATTCTGTCTCTCACTGTTCAAATAAACCTACCATTAAGATTATAGACTGATCATTTCTTTGTCATTGGGCAAACGTACAAAATCAGCAGGGGATCAAATACTTTTTTCCCTCGTGTAGGTCTACAATCTTGTCCCTGACATCCTTGGAGAGCTCTTTGGTCTTGGCCATGGTGGAGAATTTGGAATCTGATTGATTGATTGCTTCTGTGGACAGGTGTCTTTTATACAGGTAACAAGCTCCCTTTAAGAGTGTGCTCCTAATCTCAGCTCGTTACCTGTATAAAAGACACCTGGGAGCCAGAAATCTTTCTGATTGAGAGGGGGTCAAATACTTATTTCCCTCATTAAAATGCAAATCAATTTATAAAAATTTTGACATGCGTTTTTCTGGATTTTTTTGTTGTTATTCTGTCTCTCACAGTTCAAATAAACCTACCATTAAAATTATAGACTGATAATTTCTTTGTCAGTGGGCAAACATACAAAATCAGCAGGGGATCAAATACTTTTTTCCCTCACTGTATGTGGTTTAATCTCAGTGTGAAACACGAGAAACAGCCAGCTCCTCTTCGCTAATGTCCACTCCATTACACCAACACAATCTCCCCATGCAGCCCCCGGCAGCCTGACAGGCAACCACACACACTCACACACACATACTAACAAACCAGACCCACCATACCCTCTGCCACCAGGTCCGGTCCTCTGTCTCTCTGTGGATAACAACATTCTCCTCGCAGTCAGACAGTTTATTATTCTATAACAGAATCCTATAGGGTTGCTCTTCTGAGATTGAGACAGTAATATCATACACTCTAAAAATAAAAGGTTCCTGGAGTATCCTTTAGGGGTTCTTCAAATTGAAACTGTGGGGGAACCCCAATAAGTTCTTTGAAGAACCCTTTTTAATGGATCCTCGAAGAACCTTTTGGGGTACATTTTTTAACTACCCCCCCTCCCCTATTATTATTATTAATATGCATAACAACAACACAATATTTTAGTTGTCAGTGTTTATTATGATTTTAGTGGCAAAGCAGAATAAAAAAAAAAAAAATATGAGGTAAACTCCCAGCAGAGCCCCAAGTCCAATGGGTATATCCTCTGGCGTGTTGATGTTAATGTATTTAATGATTTTGCAGTGCATGGTGATCGAACAGGTTTCCTGTTATAACATCAGAGGTGTAGGGCGGGTGAAGTCTGTGAATCCATAAAATAGTAATTATACCGATGTTTAACAAAACATTCACACAACAGTATTTATACCTTGGTTTTTGTGGTAAATGTGAATGGGGAAAAAAACTGTTTTGATAATGTTTTTCATACACGTACCTTGTCCATAATGTAGAGGCCTATGGGATTTTCATTGAAGAGGTAAGGGAGGAGGATGGTACATGTGATCTGCATAACATACCAATACCAATTGACATACCTTTGTATGCCTCCTCGTCTGTATACCTGCAGACACAGACACAAAAGTGAGCAGTTCAGTCATCTGCACCCAATACAGCTAGCCTTCAACATATTCTTATAGCCTACATATTCTTACCTCTTTGTTGATTGATATCCATTGAATTGTGTCCATTTTCTGTTTTAGAAAGATTTGCACAAATATGAAAAGGTAGATGGTATCATCATAAAACAATATCAATTTAGATCATATAAAGGACAAACCTTACCTTAACTTGAGGAGTTAAGAAGTGCCTGCACCTGCTGTCCTTTCAAATTCAAAACCAAATGTTTCAGTTGGGCAGTTAGGTTCTTGCAAGAACCCCCACCAGCTAAGGAGGTTCCTCGATGAACCCCACCTCCTATGGAGTTCTTGGAAGAACCTTTTGAGGGCAATTTTCAGTGCCAAGAACCCTACGGTTCATAAAAAAACTGAGGATCTTAGAAGAACCCTTGTTGAACCCCTAATTTTTAGAGTGTATACCATCTATGTATTACAGTACCTCTTCAGTGTCAACCCCATAAGTCCTGAAGGGTGTTAGTCTATGATCATACATCCCCTTAATGCTGCTGAGAAGACATTACGCACAGTAAGAAGTGAAAAGGGTCCAGGCAGCTATCAATGATTAAGAGACTTTGAGCATCATTGGGCTCTTAGCTCCTCTAGCAGCTCTTCTCTCTCTCTCTCGCTCGCTCGCTCGCTACTGTGACTGACTGTAATACTGGAGGGAGTCTCAGCCCTCTGGCCTGCTGATGAGGCTCAGGCCTCGGTCATTATTTACCCAGTGAGCTAAGTGTTCCATGGAGAGAGGAGAGTGGAGGAGGCTGGGTTGATTGGAGGTCAGCCACTAGGGGGTTCATCCATGCATCCTCCTTTCCTCCCACTGCTATCTGACTGACTGATGGTCAGAGAAAAGCTGGGGTAGGGGGACAAAAGAGAGGAAGAGAGAGAGAAGAGGTGGGAGAAGAAGGAGATAGACATAGAGATAGGTTGTGATATGAGAACAGAGGAGTAGCGGGGGGAGGAAGAGAGAGGAAGATATAGACAAAGGGAGTGGGACTCAGAGAGAGAGCGAGAGGAGCTAAGAGCCCAATGATGCTCAGTGTCTCTTAATCATTGATAGCTGCCTGAACCCTTTTCACTTCTTACTGTGCGTACTGTTGTCTTCTCAGCAGCATTAAGTGGGGAGAGAGAGAGAGACATAGAGACGCTGAAATATGACAACAAGGAGGGACAGAGGTGAAGCAGAGGGATGAAAAGTGAGACAGAAGGAGCAGGAGAGAGTGCAGGAGAGTTATATGCAGAGAGGCAGAAATAGAGAGAGGGGGATAAGAGAACAGAGTGGAGACAGAGAGGAGGCAGAAGGCGGAAGAGCGAGACAGAGGGAGAGGTAGATGCAGAGAGACAGACGTAGCGGGCTGAGTATCTGCCCTAGTAGTCTCCAGAGCCTGTGGATGTCATCCTCACTGTGATCTGCTATATAGAGTCAGTACCAAGCACCCAACAGCCCACCCCCTGTCATATATCTGCTGCTCTCTGACACTCTTCCACTTCCTATTCCAGCCTCGTCATACCGGGCGGTCCCGGTCCCATTGGTCCCACAGGCAGCAGACAGGCCAGGCGGAGAGACGTAGGGCTAACCACACACACCAACGACACACATACACACAGGCAGGCAGACCCGTTCCCGCCCGTCTCCCCCCGCCCACCCCAGAGCGTCTGTAAATAACTCCCCCTTTCCAAGACATTCGTCACCCGCCGTATTTATACCAGCAATCATCTCAACCCAGGCCCCGGCCACCTATAAAGAACATGTGAACAGAATCCATAATGGACTCGTAAGGAAGCCCGGGGTGACATTGTGTCTTCAGGGTAGGGAAGGGGAAGAAGTAGAGGGGGAGGAGTTGGATAGGTGTGAGGAGCTCTAGGGGTCATGCTTGAACAGGCTGAATGAGTCTGAGTCTTTGTGTTGCTAATGTCTGTGATCAGAAGATCAATGATACGGCTCGAGAGAAGGGAAGGGAGGGGTTGCATCACTCCAACCTCAAAGGGAGATTTAGAGCACAGTATAATGTGTAGAGTTTACCAAAGCCAGAGCTTACACTGGAGACACACTGCTTATAGTCCAGAGCTTACACTGCAGACACACTGTTTATAGTCCAGAGCTTACACTGCAGACACACTGCTTATAGTCCAGAGCTTACACTGCAGACACACTGCTTATAGTCCAGAGCTTACACTGCAGACACACTGCTTATAGTCCAGAGCTTACACTGCAGACAAACTGCTTATAGTCCAGAGCTTACACTGCAGATACACTGCTTATAGTCCAGAGCTTACACTGCAGACACACTGCTTATAGTCCAGAGCTTACACTGCAGATACACTGCTTATAGTCCAGAGCTTACACTGCAGACACACTGCTTATAGTCCAGAGCTTACACTGCAGACACACTGCTTATAGTCCAGAGCTTACACTGCAGACACACTGCTTATAGTCCAGAGCTTACACTGCAGACACACTGCTTATAGTCCAGAGCTTACACTGCAGACACACTGCTTATAGTCCAGAGCTTACTGCAGACACACTGCTTATAGTCCAGAGCTTACACTGCAGACACACTGCTTATAGTCCAGAGCTTACACTGCAGACACACTGCTTATAGTCCAGAGCTTACACTGCAGACACACTGCTTATAGTCCAGAGCTTACACTGCAGACACACTGCTTATAGTCCAGAGCTTACACTGCAGACACACTGCTTATAGTCCAGACACACTGCTTATAGTCCAGAGCTTACACTGCAGACACACTGCTTATAGTCCAGAGCTTACACTGCAGACACACTGCTTATAGTCCAGAGCTTACACTGCAGACACACTGCTTATAGTCCAGAGCTTACACTGTGGGCTTCATGATACATACACTAACACCTTATTGACCTAGGTATTCTATCACCCCTCATCCACATTCATAGATATTTTCACCATATTGTAGACTTAGTAGGCTGTTGGGACACGTTTCACCCTCAATAAACATACCGTAAAAGCACAGGGAGTTGCTCCATAGCTGTGGTTTTTAAAAATGACCCTTTCTCTATGAGATTGTAGTTAATCAGTAATAGAAGATACGTAACCCAGACCACAACTTAGTTGAACATTATCTCACATGGAATTTCAGGAACGTAGAAAAACCATTACTGATTAGATGAGGAGGGGGGAAAGTATGTTATGTTACGTTTTTGAAAAGTGTAACTTCTATTAGTTCCTTTGAGTTTATTTTATTGTCGTCTCGTGGGACCAGACAAGTCTGTCTCTGAATATTAAGTCTGGCACGTAAGATTACCTGTATTATATATACACTGCTCAAAAAAATAAAGGGAACACTTAAACAACACATCCTAGATCTGAATGAATGAAATAATCTTATTAAATACTTTTTTCTTTACATAGTTGAATGTGCTGACAACAAAATCACACAAAAATTATCAATGGAAATCAAATTTTATCAACCCATGGAGGTCTGGATTTGGAGTCACCCTCAAAATTAAAGTGGAAAGCCACACTACAGGCTGATCCAACTTTGATGTAATGTCCTTAAAACAAGTCAAAATGAGGCTCAGTAGTGTGCGTGGCCTCCACGTGCCTGTATGATCTCCCTACAACGCCTGAGCATGCTCCTGATGAGGTGGCGGATGGTCTCCTGAGGGATCTCATCCCAGACCTGGACTAAAGCATCCGCCAACTCCTGGACAGTCTGTGGTGCAACGTGGCGTTGGTGGATGGAGCGAGACATGATGTCCCAGATGTGCTTAATTGGATTCAGGTCTGGGGAACGGGCGGGCCAGTCCATAGCATCAATGCCTTCCTCTTGCAGGAACTGCTGACACACTCCAGCCACATGAGGTCTAGCATTGTCTTGCATTAGGAGGAACCCAGGGCCAACCGCACCAGCAAATGGTCTCACAAGGGGTCTGAGGATCTCATCTCGGTACCTAATGGCAGTCAGGCTACCTCTGGCGAGCACATGGAGGGCTGTGCGGCCCCCCAAAGAAATGCCACCCCACACCATGACTGACCCACCGCCAAACTGGTCATGCTGGAGGATGTTGCAGGCAGCAGAACGTTCTCCAAGGCGTCTCCAGACTCTGTCACGTCTGTCACATGTGCTCAGTGTGAACCTGCTTTCATCTGTGAAGAGCACAGGGCGCCAGTGGCAAATTTGCCAATCTTGGTGTTCTCTGGCAAATGCCAAACGTCCTGCACGGTGTTGGGCTGTAAGCACAACCCCCACCTGTGGACGTCGGGCCCTCATACCACCCTCATGGAGTCTGTTTCTGACCGTTTGAGCAGACACATGCACATTTGTGGCCTGCTGGAGGTCATTTTGCAGGGCTCTGGCAGTGCTCCTCCTGCTCCTCCTTGCACAAAGGCGGAGGTAGCGGTCCTGCTGTTGGGTTGTTGCCCTCCTACGGCCTCCTCCACGTCTCCTGATGTACTGGCCTGTCTCCTGGTAGCGCCTCCATGCTCTGGATACTACGCTGACAGACACAGCAAACCTTCTTGCCACAGCTCGCATTGATGTGCCATCCTGGATGAGCTGCACTGCCTGAGCCACTTGTGTGGGTTGTAGACTCCGTCTCACGCTACCACTACAGTGAAAGCACCGCCAGCATTCAAAAGTGACCAAAACATCAGCCAGGAAGCATAGGAACTGAGAAGTGGTCTGTGGTCACCACCTGCAGAACCACTTCTTTATTGGGGGTGTCTTGCTAATTGCCTATAATTTCCACCTGTTGTCTATTCCATTTGCACAACAGCATGTGAAATGTATTGTCAATCAGTGTTGCTTCCTAAGTGGACAGTTTGATTTCACAGAAGTGTGATTGACTTTGACTTACATTGTGTTGTTTAAGTGTTCCCTTTATTTTTTTGAGCAGTGTATATATATATATATATATATATATACACTGAGTGTACAAAACATTAGGAACACCTTCATAATATTGAGTTGCACCCTCTTTTGCCCTCAGAACTGCCTCGATTCATTGGGGTCTATAAGGTGTCAAAAGCATTCTACAAGGATGCTGGCCCATGTTGACTCCAATACTGCCCATAGTTGTGTCAGATTGTCTGGATGTCCTTTGGGTGGTGGACCATTCTTGATACACACGGGAAACTGTTGAGCGTGAAAAACCCAGCACCGTTGCAGTTCTTGACACACTCAAACCGGTGCGCCTGGCACCTACTACCATACCCCGTTCAAAGGCACTTAAAGCATTCCAGGTGAAGCTTGTTGAGAGAATGCCAAGAGTGTGCAAAGCTGTCATCAAGGCAAAGGGTGGCTACTTTGAAGAATCTAAAAAATAAAATATATTTTGATTTGTTTAACACTTTTTTGGTTACTACATGATTCCATATGTGTTATTTCATAGTTTTGATCATCACTATTGTTCTACAATGTAGAAAATAGTACAAATAAAGAAAAACACTGGAATGAGTAGTGTGTCCAAACTTTTGACTGGTACTGTATATTCTGTGGCCTTTTCTATGGACTTTAAAGCCTTTCCTGATGCTTCACTAACAAGATAACATCTCTGTGTTTCAGGGGTCAGGTTCCCTCAGAGGCTGAAGCCAATTATTTAGGAATAGCCAAAACACTGGATATGTATGGAGTCGACCTTCACCCTGTGTTCGTAAGTAGAAGCTGGACTCGCTGACTGTGGAGAAGAATGAGATACTTGTTAGAGCTGTATTCTGTGGTTTATCACAATCACCTTACCTTGATCTTGTTCCTTACTATTTCACTTGTCTCTCATGGCAACCATTTGGTTCTGGGTGCTGAGATGACTATTTTCCTTTTTTCTTTGACACACACTTTAGTATCCTTACTGTGTGTTATTTCTGGTTGCCATTTATTATGTAAATTCTGTTTGGTATAATACCTGTTATTGTGGTGTTTTGCAGGGAGAGAATCAGGCTGAATACTTCCTGGGGCTGACACCTATTGGAGTTGTTCTTTACAAAAACAAAACACAAGTTGGGAAGTATTTCTGGTAGGTATTGTTTTCGTAGTCAGACTAAATAATGATAGTTTGACCTATAACTCCTGCTTCATGTTTATTTGATACCTTGTGGCAGTATTTCATGAGAATCATCCACTTTAATTTGCTATCACAACATTGATTACAATACACAATCTAAAAAGAAAAGGTTCCTGGAGTATCCTTTAGGGGTTCTTCAAATTGAAACTGTGGGGGAAACCCTATAAATTATTTGAAGAACCCTTTTTAATGGATCCTCAAATAACCTTTTGGGGTTAATTTTTTACACATAGCTTGTCCATAATGTAGAGGCCTATGGGATTTTCATTGAAGAGGTAAGGGAGGAGGATGGTACATGTGATCTGCATAACATACCAATACCAATTGACATACCTTTGTATGCCTACTTGTCTGTATACATGCAGATACAGACACAAAAGTGAGCAGTTCAGTCATCTGCACCCAATCCAGCTAGCCTTCCACATTATGTTATAGCATACATATTCTTACATCTTTGTTGATTGATATCCATTGAATTGTGTCCATTTTCTGTTTTAGAAAGATTTGCACAAATATCAAAAGATAGATGGTATCATCATAAAACAATACCAATTTAGATCATATATAGTGGGGGAAAAAAGTATTTAGTCAGCCACCAATTGTGCAAGTTCTCCCACTTAAAAAGATGAGAGAGGCCTGTAATTTTCATCATAAGTACACGTCAACTATGACAGACAAATTGAGAATTTTTTTCTCCAGAAAATCACATTATAGGATTTTTAATGAATTTATTTGCAAATTATGGTGGAAAATAAGTATTTGGTCACCTACAAACAAGCAAGATTTCTGGCTCTCACAGACCTGTAACTTCTTCTTTAAGAGGCTCCTCTGTCCTCCACTCGTTACCTGTATTAATGGCACCTGTTTGAACTTGTTATCAGTATAAAAGACACCTGTCCACAACCTCAAACAGTCACACTCCAAACTCCACTATGGCCAAGACCAAAGAGCTGTCAAAGGACACCAGAAACAAAATTGTAGACCTGCACCAGGCTGGGAAGACTGAATCTGCAATAGGTAAGCAGCTTGGTTTGAAGAAATCAACTGTGGGAGCAATTATTAGGAAATGGAAGACATACAAGACCACTGATAATCTCCCTCGATCTGGGGCTCCACGCAAGATCTCACCCCGTGGGGTCAAAATGATCACAAGAACGTTGAGCAAAAATCCCAGAACCACACGGGGGGACCTAGTGAATGACCTGCAGAGAGCTGGGACTAAAGTAACAAAGCCTACCATCAGTAACACACTACACTGCCAGGGACTCAAATCCTGCAGTGCCAGACGTGACCCCCTGCTTAAGCCAGTACATGTCCAGGCCCGTCTGAAGTTTGCTAGAGTGCATTTGGATGATCCAGAAGAGGATTGGGAGAATGTCATATGGTCAGATGAAACCAAAATATAACTTTTTGGTAAAAACTCAACTCGTTGTGTTTGGAGGACAAAGAATGCTGAGTTGCATCCAAAGAACACCATACCTACTGTGAAGCATGGGGGTGGAAACATCATGCTTTGGGGCTGTTTTTCTGCAAAGGGACCAGGACGACTGATCCGTGTAAAGGAAAGAATGAATGGGGCCATGTATCGTGAGATTTTGAGTGAAAACCTCCTTCCATCAGCAAGGGCATTGAAGATGAAACGTGGCTGGGTCTTTCAGCATGACAATGATCCCAAACACACCGCCCGGGCAACGAAGGAGTGGCTTCGTAAGAAGCATTTCAAGGTCCTGGAGTGGCCTAGCCAGTCTCCAGATCTCAACCCCATAGAAAATCTTTGGAGGGAGTTGAAAGTCCGTGTTGCCCAGCGACAGCCCCAAAACATCACTGCTCTAGAGGAGATCTGCATGGAGGAATGGGCCAAAATACCAGCAACAGTGTGTGAAAACCTTGTGAAGACTTACAGAAAACGTTTGACCTGTGTCATTGCCAACAAAGGGTATATAACAAAGTATTGAGAAACTTTTGTTATTGACCAAATACTTATTTTCCACCATAATTTGCAAATAAATTCATAAAAAATCCTACAATGTGATTTTCTGGATTTTTTTTCCTCATTTTGTCTGTCATAGTTGACGTGTACCTATGATGAAAATTACAAGTGCCTGCACCTGCTGTCCTTTCAAATGAAAATCCAAATGTTTCAGTTGGGCAGTTAGGTTCTTGCAAGAACCCCCACCAACTAAGGAGGTTCCTCTATGAACCCCACCTCCTATGGGGTTCTTGATAGAACCTTTTGGGGGCAATTTTCAGTGCCATGGACTCTAATGTCCTTCAAAGAATTTTGAAGATCTTAGAAGAACCCTTGTTGAACCCCTAATTTGTAGATATGCACCTCATTATCTGTTTGTTTACATTTATCTTTTCAGGCCAAGGATAACTAAAGTGCATTTTAAGGAAACACAATTTGAGCTTCGAGTTGTTGGAAAAGATGTAAGTTGTCAGTTATTATCTTTCAGTAATTATCTGCATAAGGAATGTTTTGTGAAGTTATATACTGTATTTTTACCTTGGCTTTGTTTGTGATTCTTCAAGTTATTTTGGCATGTTTCATTAACACAATAATGTGAGATCATTCACACTAGCTAACTCATAATGACTGAATGAATCAAAACCAATTTGTTTGGATATCACTGGTGTGGAAGCCTCATTGTAAAAAATCATCCCCATATCAGACCTTATTATGAGGTATAAAATAAAACGGCACAATATTCCCAGGAGTATCTGCAGTTCCACCATGTGAAACCTTGAAAGATCAAATGTGTGTTTGATCTTGAGACATTTCGACATCCTCCTAATGTTCAAGGAGAGGAATTAAAGAAACATGACAGTGCAGGAGTACGTGATGCTGGTGCAGCCTCGAATCTCCCATCTTCACTGATGTTCACTTCACGGGTGCAAATGAGAAAAGATAGACACTTCACACAAACTTAACTTCCTCAAAACACATCCAGCTTAATGCTGAACTTTTGGGCTTTTTGGGGAGGATTTCTTGATCATTTTCAAAGTGATGGAAAAACTGAAGTGGTGGGCCTTACACCTTCATATATCACTGAAGCGGAACCACTTTTCTGATTGAGAGATGTTGGGTTAAATGCGGAAGACACATTTCAGTTGAATGCATTCAGTTGACAACTGACTAGATATCCCCTTTTCCCTTTTCTCATCTCTCTGTTGAGATAGTTAGACTCGTTGAGACCTGTGAGTCTTGCTGAATGATATGATTTACTTTATTCAACCTGAGAGAGTCTCAATAAGCTGTGAATAGAGAGGCCGTGGAGCAGAGACCCATGATAACCCCATTATTGACAATATCAAAGCAGCTCAGAACGGAGCTTCATTTCAATAATATAGAGACCTATGGGCCTACTGTAGCAACCTCCTCTCTGAGACTAGCTGTAGGGGAGTTTAGAGAGAGAGAGTGTGAATTGTCCTCTCTCTACAGTCATATATCTATTTGCCTAATGACCCAACACAGACATCCCATCTAGGTTGAGAGATTACACACTACCTGTTCATTTACATAAACACTTAAAGAGAAAACACATTTAATGGTACATTTGACACGAGGCCTTTCCACCACCACCAAACACCACCACAATTATATTGTTTTCAGAATTACGGATGAAATAAATGGCCTTTGTTATGATATACTTCGAAATATATCTTATTGGTTTAGCTGATGAATGTGATTTATATTATTTGTTTGTTTGTTGTTTGTATAAGAGATTATGTTGTTGTTTATTTGCAGTGTACAGAGACGTCGTTCTTCTTCGAGGCACCCAATAAGACGGCCTGTAAACATCTGTGGAAGTGCTGCGTAGAACACCACACTTTCTTCAGGTAAAAAACTACAAATGCACGCACGCATTCACACACACACATACACAATACACTGTCATAGGCAAATACTACAGTATACTGTACCAACACTACTGTAACTTTTCAGTTAGAATCTCTACCACCGTACACAGGGAAAACCCCAAACTATCACTGCTTCAGTGAAAAATTGTCCCTTTTATCTACAACACGTTCACCCACACTAATTCCAACAAAAGCCCTTCTCTGTTACCCCCTCAGGTAGAAACTTAACACTATCACATACCTCTTAACATGAAGATCCCAGCGTCCCTCTGTCCTTAATCAAAGTGAACAAGGCCCCTGTCTGGCAGCGCAGCTCAGTGCGTTCCCTGGTGTGTGTGTGTGTGTGTGTGTGTGTGTGTGTGTGTGTGTGTGTGTGTGTGTGTGTGTGTTGGCCTAATGAGAGCAGACTTACACTGACTGTACCCTAAAGAGCAGGAGAAGCAGCAAGGTGCGCGAGGCTCTGGATTTACACAGTTTAATCCGCGTGTGAACCCTGCAGTCTGCTGGGTCCCTGTGTCACAGACAGACATGGAGCTGACAGGTAGAGAGGAGGGGAGGGGGCTTGACAGGTTATACCCCCCCCCCCCTGGCTTATAGGCCTCTGGGAGGGAGAGGGTTGGGGGGGTTGGGTGGTTTGGATGAGAGAATGGGAGAGAATGTGTTATGCTGTGATGGGACTATGGAATGAAGGTGGGAGAAGTGGGTATAATCAATCGGATGAAAATAGGCAGGTATATGCTGCAGCTTTAATGTGAGTGGATATGTTATACAAGCCCTTATAGACACCTGAAGAAAGAGTGAAAAAAAACAATGAGAAGAGAGAGGGAAAATATAGGTTAATTTGAGCTTCTGGTTGGGTGTACTAACTACGTCCACCTACCTTCAGTACTTTTCTCCATCTATCTTTCCATCTAAGTGCTTTTCAACAGTGATTTGAGTTATCTGAAGTGTTTCTGAGCCCTGTGAGAGAGAGGACTTAGCTCAATGCTGTAGTGGTGTTAGTGGTGATGGTTGTGTTAATAAAACATGGCTGGGTGAGAGACTACAAGAGGCTTTTATAATGGGCTTTTACTTTACTTCTGAACAGTAATGTACCACTAGTACCACTCACACTCACACTCTCTCAGACTCAGAGCTTTGAATTTTTATGAAGCCCAAAAGCTCTTAGTGGTGTTCCAGCAGTCATTGTGTCATTAAAGCAATGATCAGAACAAGAGACCTGCTTCTTTTTTTCTCTTCCTTTTAAATTAATAAAAACTACAAAGTGAATTCAGAATTCAAACACGCATCGCCGGACACCTTTGTGAAAGACGCACATTTTCCTTTCAGCCTGAGCATTTAATCCTCTTTAACATGGGTTAGTCACATTCAAAATTCATAAAGAATGTATTACCTGTGGAATAATGTACTGTAGAAATGTGCACCCCATATGAGACTTTAGTGGAAGTATAGTACTTTTACATTCTTCATCTAGGCCTACTCTCCATTGTTGTTGAATGCTTTTTCTAGAATGCCAGAAAATGATTCCAACACACTGACAAGAAAACTATCCAAATTTGGTTCCCTGGGATCTAAACATCGGTACAGGTGAGCAAACCTCTATTCTTTATCCCCTTCAAATGCAGTTAGCTATGTATGAAAAGTATTGTAGGAACTGTATAGAATATTTAGAATATAATGCATTTCTATAATCTGTAAGATGGAACTCCACACAAAGGTATACATTATACATAGAAATATTATCATTTTGGTTGGGAAAGCGTGGTGTAGGTAAATCCTAGAGAACTTCTCCCAGCATGTATTCATTCTAGAATCCACAACTTCATGAATAATGGAGACTGTTTTAGTAGAGGAGCTGAAGGGGGATACAGTGTTCGACAGACAGAGAGACACTGTTTGTGTATGTGAGCGTATGTGTGTGCGCGTATGTGTGTGTGTGTGTCACCACAGAGAAGTGGAAGACCTGAATAAATCAGAGATCACACAACATCCATCTCTCCTTTGTCTCCATTCTGTTGTCTACTTGCTGTATCTACTCAGAGAAGACTGCCACTCTGTACACCAGTGATTGTTTTATTCACCAGTTGCAGTTTTCTTCTGCAATATTTATACATGATCTACTACTGACCTCTGCTAGGTTTAGGGTCACTGCAGTCACAACTGTGGCTGTGTTTTCTATGTTCATGTTGCTCTTCAACACCTCGTTGTTGCATCAGACTGTGTATCACTGTCACTGTGTGCGTAACAAAAGGGTTTGACATATGAAAGGTCAAGACCAGATCATCTCTGTCTCACATAAGAACTTGACAGACCAGGAACATCTGCCCCCTAAAACCCTGAAAATATAAAAAGAGTAAACAACTGTGTGTGTGTGTATGTGTGTGTGTGTCTCTTTCTCTTTCCCTACAGTGGTAAAACAGCTATGCAGATGGGCAGGGATCCGTCTGTCAGTCTGCCTCGGCCAGACCTGCAGGTTGTCAGGACCCGCAGCAAGACCTACCCCAAGAGACCACCACAGACCAAAGGTCAGCTGGATATACAGCATACCTAAAGCATACATAACATCTACAGACACACTACACAACACCTAACAAGCACAATGTCACTAAGACATGGGTTACGTATCAATGGTAACTAATGCCATACATCATACATAGCCACAAAACATTTCCCCACCTTTCACCTCTACTGACTCCCAGTAGAACCTCTCAGGTTCCTAATGACAGTTACACTTATGTCAGGTGTAAAGCAGCTTAGTTGAGTCTCAGTCACAGTAAGTTTAGTATTCACTTCCTCCTCCTAATTGAACACAGGGCTTCAATTAGCTAATTATATTATATTAAATTCACTTCAGCAGTTCACACAGACAGACACACAGTATGTTGCTATAATGCGCTTGACTTAGCATTGTTGTTTTCACTGTGTGCAGTGGCAGAGTCATTTCTCTCAGACACATTCAGTGATTGAATTCGCTCTAATTACAATTACAGGGCTCGAAAATAAACAACACTGTGTATATTTCAATAAATCTGAGCCCTTCATGGGAAGGCTACCATGCCACACGTAGTTACGGGCAGAGATTGTTCTAGTATTGAAACAATGGAAAGAGAGAGGCAAATTGGTTCAGATTTCAACCTTACAGAACGTCTATTTTCCTTATAGGACTGAACAATGGGAATCGGTCAAACACAAAGACGGAGAATTCGGAAAAAGAAGGAACGGCTAAGATTACAGCACTGTCGCCTGTGAAGAGGTATCAGACATGGGCAAGACATGTAGAAAATAGTGTACAAATGAGAGAGGCAGTAATTTTGGACCAAATGGAGAAAGGGATATAAACAGAGATGGAAAGAGAAAAGAGAAGTTGAGTGGGGAGTGAGAAGCTTTTCCAGTATAAAGTGACAGCTCTTCATAAAAATGCTTAGCCCAGACAAAATACTTTGTTTACCTTTAGCTCCAAAGTAACCAAGGCGGTGAATTGTGGTCCAGAGGAACAGCGAGGGAAGCCCAATGCACCATGGGATGAGAACGCCCCACAAAGGTACAGTACTGTCTGATTGGATTCTCTGCTCTGTGATCGATTGGTCTTGTCTAATATGTTTCAATTACACTGTTGTCTTATAGACTAATGATCCCTAATACTGTCTGTGTTATGTGTGTTGCCTACATTATTTATATTTCATGGATGAAGCATGTATACACACACACATATGCACACATTGTCCATTGACAACAACGTAGGAACAGAATAAAGCCCTCCAGTAGTGAAGGAGGCGAAACATAGTAGACCTTCCAATTGATTCATGCCATCTTGCCAACGTTTATAGTCATTGTCATGGGCCAAACAATGAACATAGGAGTTGGCAAGACGGCACAAACAGATCTGGGACCAGGCTATTATAATTAAGTATTATCTAGGGCCATTTGCATTTCAATAAGCTGGTTTCAACATTATTTAATCTACATATTGATTTGTGCGCCCTTCTTGGGGGCTGTGTGTTTGTGTGTGTGTGTTCCAGCATGCGTGCTTGCGTAACTGTGTGTCGGAGGGGCCTTATCTGAAGCTAATGAATGCAGACAGGATGTGTGTGAAGCCTGGGGTCACTAAGCAGCAGCCAGTGTTGCGACCTGCTACCCTTGGCATTTAGCTTTATCCTCTGAGGCTATGATGTCATCATCCTGGCATATCTGTGTCAATGTGGCTAGGTGGACAGGAATGTTGTTGTTGTTTGTGTAGGCAGGATGTCTTCTTTCACACTAAAGACTGTACTTTGTTTGAGAATGCATCCTTAACAGGATAGAAACAAGTCAGACTTCCGGTAAACAAGCAAAATAGTACATCTTCAAATACAACTAATTAGAACACAAGTACTCAATCAACATAGTGGAGAAAGAAACATAGCAAACAGAAGACATAGTATGTGGGTATGTATTGTGATGGAAGGTGTGGTGTGCGTTTGGAAAAGTGTGGCGTTAAGTGAGTGAGAAAGGAAATGGTTGCATATCCCAGAACCAACGTGTATCTGTGTCACGACTTCCACCGAAGCTGCCTCCTCTCCTTGTTCGGGCAGGCTTCGGCATTCGTCGTCACCGGTCTTCTAGCCACTGCCGCTCCTCATCTCATCATTCCGTTTGTTTTACATTTACATTTTAGTAATTTAGCAGACACTCTTATCCAGAGTGACTTACAGTTAGTGAGTGCATACATTTTTCATACTGGCCCCCCATGGGAATCGAACCCACAACCCTGGCGTTGCAAGCGCCATGCTCTACCAACTGAGCTACACACACCTGGTTTCAATTCCCCTCATCAGTACCTGTATAAGTGTTCCCTCTGCCCCCTTATCTTTGTGTGTGATTGTTTATTGTGGAGGTTAGTTTAGCTCGGTGGAGCTCTTGTATTTTGTATCGCCAGGATATTCAGCCGTGTGCCTTGTTGTTTCCAGTGCGCTGTATATTTCCACACTGGAGTGTTTGACGCATTGCTGCGTACCGCTGTGTCAACGGAATAAACCTGTTATTCTGTGTATTACCCTCCTGCGCCTGACTCCTTCAAATTACATCACCACAGAATCACACACCCGCCATGGAGTTAGCAGGAGAAAAGCCCATGCCTGGAGTCGTGGCACGGGTCCATGAGCATTCCAGGATGCTAGCCAGCTTGGGAGAAGCGATGGATCGGGTTCTCCAGGTCGTCCAACGCCTGAAGAGGAGAGGACCCGACCCGACCCGTCGGGACCAGCTGAGCGACCGGATCCGGCCACCCACACTCCAGCACCCCGAGGGATTCATCTATCCCGACAGAGGGAGTTTGACGGGATGCCTGCCCACTGCCAGGTGTTTCAGGACATACTTGGTCACGGTGTAGTGGTCTACATTGATGACATTCTGGTGTATTCCGCTACGGGCGCCGAGCATGTGTCCCTGGTTCGCAAAGTGCTGGGCCGACTGTTGGAAAATGACCTTTATGCCAAGAAGTGTCTGTTTTTCCAGCAGTCAGTCTCCTTCCTCGGATACCGCATTACCACCTCAGGTGTGGAGATGGAGGGAGATCGCATTTCAGCCGTGCGTAATTGGCCGACTCCAACCATGGTAAAGGAGGAGCAGCGCTTTATTGGCTATGCCAATTACTATCGGGGGTTTATCCGGGGCTTTGGCAAGGTCGCAGCTCCCATCACATCTCTGTTGAAGGGTGGGCCGTCCCGGCTCCGCTGGTCTGCTGAAGCTGACAGGGCCTTCACTAACCTGAGGGTTCTGTTCACCTCAGCCCCGTTACTGGCCCATCCCGATCCATCACTACCGTTCGTAGTGGAGGTGGATGTGTCTGAGGTAAGGATAGGCGCTGTCCTGTCTCAACGCTCGGGCACGCCACCCATGCTCCGCCCCTGTGCCTTCTTCTCCAAGAAGCTCAGCCCGGCGGAGCAGAACTACGACGTTGGTGATCGGGAGCTGTTGGTTGTAGTCAGAGCCCTGACATTGTGGAGGCACTGGCTCGAGGGGGGCAAAATACCCTTTCCTCGTCTGGACGGACCACCGTAACCTGGAGTACATCCGGGCAGTAAGGAGGCTGAACCCTCACCAGGCCAGGTGGGCCCTATTCTTCACCCGGTTTGAGTTTACTCTGTCATACATCCCGGGTACGAAGAACATGAAGGCAGACGCGTCTGTCACGACTGTACGACACAGAGGAGAGGCCCATAGACAATACCACCATACTCCCGACTTCTGCATTGTGGCGCCGGTAGTGTGGGCGGTGGACGCGGACATAGGGCGTTATGCACAGAGCCATCTCCACCTCAGTGCCCAGCTGGGCTGCGGTACGTGCTGTCTCTTGTCCATGACCGTCTGATCTATTGGGCCCACACGTCCCCCTCCTCTGGTCACCCAGGTATCAGCCGTACAGTGCGCTGCCTGACTGGAAAGTACTGGTGGCCTACCTTGGCTAAGGACGTAAGGGTGTATGTCTCCTCCTGCTCACGTTCACCTCCAGTGCGCCGTGCATTGCCAGAAGGCCAACGCTGACCTCCACCGCAGTGAGGCCCCGGTTTTTGTACCGGGTGATCAGGTCTGGCTCTCGACCCGGAATCTGCCCCTCCGCCTGCCCTGCCGGAAACTGACCCCGCAGTTTGTGGGGCGTACTCCGTCCATTCTATCCTGGAATCGAGGCATCGGGTGGGGGGCCTTCAGTACCTCGTGGAGTGGGAGGGGTACGGTCCGGAGGAGCGGTGTTGGGTCCAGGTGAGGGATATCCTCAATCCCTCCCTGTTGCAGGATTTCCACCGTCACCATCCGGCTCGCCCTGCTCCACGTCCTCCTGGCCGTCCCCGAGGCCAGTGTCAGCGTGCTGCTGGAGCTGCGCGTCAAGAGGGGGTACTGTCACGACTTCCTCCGAAGCTGCCTCCTCTCCTTGTTCGGGCAGGCTTCGGCGTTCGCCGTCACCGGTCTTCTAGCCACTGCAGCTCCTCATCTCATCATTCCATTTGTTTTGTCTTGTTTTTACACACACCTGGTTTCAATTCCCCTCTGGAGTGTTTGACGCATTGCTGCATACCGCTGTGTCAACGGAATACACCTGTTATTCTGTGATTTACCCTCCTGCGCCTGACTCCTTCACCACAGTCTGTGAGCAGGGGTTGTGAGAGAGAGCTTTCAATTTTGTGCAGATGAGGGATATACATTTTAAAATAAAGTATACATCTAATCTATTTTTTTATTGTCCTATCATGATGGAACGATCCCCAACCCTATATCCTAGACACCCACCTGAGCGACCCATACACCAAAGAGAAGTCCGCATCTGTTTTATGGCCCTGCTGTGAGTTGCCTATATGCAGCCAAAACAGAAAAATAAATGCGGTCAGAGACTTACTTGAGCAGCACCGCCCCCTCAAGATTCTGAACCTGCCTGGCAGGGTTGGTCCTACAAAGCCAGAGCCCGTTGATGGGAGAGCATAATTTACAAGGAAATTCTCAAAGCTGCTAATGAGAACCTTGACGACCTTGTACCTAGCCGGTGGAGATTCCGGTGGGGTACCCCCACCCAGGTAGTGGCAGTGCTGGCAACATTGGCTGCAGTAACCAATGGTGAGGGGGTCACACTCGGACAATCAGAGAGGGGGCATATTATTGTGGCCCTGGTGGCACAAAATAATCAAAGGTCTGACTGCACGGAAATGTTTGGGGAAAATGGTTACAACGGGGGACCAGAGTGTTTTGTGTCTCAGGGGAAGAGGATGGATCTGAGCTCCATCACCTAGGACTTGACATAGATTAATCAAATCTCACATTGTTGTCAATTTTCACTCAATCTTGCATGCTTTCTCAAACAGCTGTAACTGTATATGCATTCGTAAATCAGGTCCTTTCTTGAGTTGGGCTCGGGGATGTAACAACCGTTGAGCATATGATCTTATGGTTCATTGTGGAGGAAAGGGGTTGAGTGTGTTAGAGTATGTGTGTGTGTGTGTGTGTGTGCGTGTGTGTGTGTGTGCGTGTGTGTGTGTGTGTGTGTGTGTGTGTGTGTGTGTGTGTGTTTATCCCACATCTGTTGCAATGGGGTAAGGATGTTAGAGAGAATATAGGATGAACCACAATAATTGTTTGCTAAAATAATAATTGCTTGACAAAAATGTAATGTAACACAATGGCAATCTGGGTTATAGGTGACAATCCTACGCGTGAACTGCCAACATTATTACGCATATTAATTGATAATGATGGAAATTAAGATATGCAAGATATTTGAATAGATACAGTTGAAGTCGGAAGTTTA